AAAGAGCTAAGCGTGCGGCTCGCCACACGCTACTAGGATCGATAGAACGAGCAAATCAGAAAGTGGCCGCGTATATTTCCACGTTTCAGCGGAAGATTCATTCCGTTTTTGCTCTTCCTATCGATGGAGTGTGTGTGTGTGTGTGTGTGTGTGTGTGTGTGTGTGTGTGTGTGTGTGTGTGTGTGTGTGTGCGTGAAAAGACAGAAGAATAGTGGAATAGGAGGGAAGGAAGACTTACCTGGTGGCAGCTGACGACCAGCCCGCAAAGACAACACACCTCCCCCGTTGTGATTACTTCGGGCTAGGAAGTTGGCCTGTATACGGTAACAACAATCATCGTTTATCATTATTGCTATGGTATTAGTGTTATATTGTTATTAATTTTTATTATTATTATTATTATTATTATTATTATTATTATTATTATTATTATTATTATTATTTCTAGCGGACCTCGGGTTAGCCTGTGAGACCAGCCCCTTGGCCTGTTCTCACAGGTCTGTGTTATATTCGGGGTAGGCCAGTCCAGGCTGGTACCTCTGTCGGTACCAGCCAGTCCAGTCCAGTCCCGTCAGTCCGCTGGGGTATACCCCAACCATTGTCTGTTTTCAGATTCATTTCCTCACTTGCACATTTTGGAGTACGTGCGTTGGAGTCTTGCGTGGGGAGCTGCGTTGTGCCATCTTGCTCCCCCTTCTTCCTCCATCTCCATCTCTGTCACTAGCGGAGCACCACACCTGGTGGGTCCGCTACATTGGTATCGGAGCGGGAACGGTCCCCGCCCCCACCCACCACACCGCACAGCAGCGAAATACTGCAAAACCTGACAGTCGGGTTTTGGCTGTTTTTGGGGCGTTTTCGGGCAAAAAAGCGGGAAAAACGACGGGAAAAGGTGCTGCAGCAGGAGAGCTCCACGTGGCGAAAAAGGAAGCTACATCACGACGCGTGCGCGCAAGCGCCAAGGCCAAGGACGCCGTACGCGCGCGCGCCACGTGCCCATGCTGCCCCGCCCCGCCCCGCTCCCCGATTTATATTATTAAGATCCGGGATGCAACTGCTGCTGTAGGGGTTTGAACCCAGGCACTGCC